ACATTTAAATACATATCTAAGGGTTCATTTTCCTAACATCACATTATCTGACCTTTTCGGCTTGACTCATATATATACTAGATATTGCAAATAAGGGAAACCATGGGACCTATGTTTCTTTGGGCCTGGCTTACTTCACTTAATATAATTTTTTCCAAGCCTTTCCATTTCCTAACAAATGGGGAAATGTCATTCTTTCTGATGGAGGCATAGAATTCCATTGTGAATATACACCACATTTTCTTGATCCATTCATCTATTGAGGGGCATCTGGGCTGGTTCCATATCTTAGCTATGGTAAACAATGCTGCAATAAACATAGTTGTGCTGGTAGCTTTAGTGTGGTCTTGTTTGTAAACATTTGGGTAAATGCCCAAAAGTGGGATTGCTGGGTCATAGGGGAGCTCTATGTGAAGTCTTTTGAGGAACCTCCATACTGCTTTCCAAAGTGGTTGAACAACTTTACATTCCCACCAACAATGAAGTAAGCTTCCCTTCTGTCCACATCCCCTCCAGCATCTGTTGTTGTTAGAGTTCTTGATTTTTGCCATTCTAACTGGAGTGAGGTGGTATCTCAATGTTGCTTTGATTTGCATTTCTTTTATGGCTAGGGAGGTTGAGCATTTCTTCATGTGTCTATTGGCCATACTTCTTTCTTCTTCAGAGAAGTTTCTCTTTAAGTCATTAGCCCACTTATTTATTGGGCAGTTGTTTCTTTGAGGATTTGTTGTTGGGGGATTTAATTTTTTGAGTTCCAAGTATATTTTAGATATGAGACCCTTGTCTGTTGTATGGCTAGTGAAGATGTTCTCCCAGTCCGTGGGCTTTCTATTGATCTTGCTAGCTATGTCTTTTGCCATGCAGAAGCTCTGCAACTTCATGCAATCCCATTTGTCCAACCTTTCTTTGATTTGTTGTGTTTCGCGTTCTCTATTCAGAAAATTTCGGCCTGAGCCAAGGAGACCTAGGGTTTCTCCTATTCCATCCTGTAATGTTTTCAGAGTGTCTGCTTTGACTTGGAGGTCTTTGATCCATTTGGAGTTGATTCTGGTGCAGGGTGATATACAAGGATCTCGCTTCAGTTTTCTACAAGTAGTTAAACAATTTTGCCAGCACCATTTACTGAAGAGGCTGTCTCTCTTCCATTCTATTGTTTTAGCTCCCTTATCGAAGATTAGATGGCTATAGGTCTGTAGGTTCATTTCTGGGTTTTCAATTGTTTTCCATTGGTCCTGAGGTCTGTTCTTATGCCAATACCAAGCTGTTTTCATTACTATGGCTTTATAGTAGAGTTTGAAATTTGGTATTGATATTCCTCCATCAGTGTTCTTTCCATTGAGGAGCGTTTTTGCTATTCGTGGTCTTTTATTGTTCCATATGAATTTTTGGATTGCCTCTTCTATTTCCTTGAAGAATGAGGTTGGAATTTTGATAGGTATCGCGTTGAATTTGTAGATATCCTTGGGAAGTATTGCCATTTTCACGACGTTAATCTTTCCAATCCAGGAGCATGGAAGGTTTTGCCATTTTCTAAGTTCTGTTTTAATTTCCTTTTTCAAGATTTTAAAGTTTTCATGATAGAGGTCCTTCACTTCCTTGGTTAAGTTAAATCCTAGGTGTTTTATTTTTTGTGGGGCTATTAGAAATGGAGTTGCTTTCCTAATTTCAGCCACACTTTTCTCACTCATACCACGAAACATTTTGAAGACAACAACCAACCCAGAACCTAGAGCTGCACAGACTTTAAGGGTTAACAATCATAGGCAGGTATTTTAACTCTTTCCTTTTAGGATATGAAAGCAATTCCAGTACCCCCACAGAACACACTTTTAAGACAAAAACCAACCACAATCCCAGTATTTGCACAGATTTTAGAGCTTTGAAATAGGACATACGTATTCTCCTATTTATCTATCCTTTTCTTTGTTATGGGAGGGGTATTGTTCTTCCAGAGTGGGGAATATACATATATATATATATATATATATATATATATATATATATATATATATATAGTTGAAATCAGTGAACAAATCTGTCATGAGCTTTAAAGCAGTCTGAACCAAAAGGATGACACAATAATCTACTTTGACACTGTCAAAATGGATACAATTAGAGTCTAGATCAACAACAATCAAATACTGGTCAGTGGACTAAAGCAAAGGAATAAGTAGTGAAGGACCAGAAATAAAGGAAAATGTGTTGAGGTGAATTAGAAGATTGAGAGATATAATGAAAAATGGGGGAAGAGGAAATGAGAGTAGAGGGTTGTAGTGAAGGAAAGGAACAGACAGAAGAAAGCTAAGACCTAAATTCAGAGAAAGAAAAACAATAAGAAAAAACAAAAGAAGAAATAAAGATATTTTAAAATGTATATATGTTTTCCTTCTAAGCCCTTTCTCAGCTCTCTGAGCTCATTTTCCCAGCTCTCTCTCTTTCCCACACCTTTCCCAGCTCTTTCCCACTTCTTTTCCCAGCTCTCTCTCTTAGGTCTTTTCCAGGCCTTTCTCATCCATGAGGAATGCCAACCTGGCCTGGTCCCAACACGTCTACTGAATAAACCTACCCCTTACCTGAAAAAAAAAGTACATTTGTATAAAGTAATAATTCTAAAATTAAAAATCATGAAATTGAGCAATAGACATTTGCTCAAAATATAGCCTGAATTAAGTATACACACAATTAAGGAGGAAGCCTAGTAATCACCATAGGCTGTGTAGGAATAAACAGCAATGAAGAAGAAAAATGGGGCAAAATATATAAATAAAATAAAAATTATGTTTAGAAAACAATTTTTAAATTTATTTGTATCTCCCCTATGTCTGCTACCCAGTCTCTTGATGGAGTCTTTGACTTCCTTGCAGTGATTGGTTTTCCTTATGGCAAATCAGTTTGAGCAGACAGAAAAAGTTGGGAGTCTTGTGTCTGTCTGAATCTTGTGTTAGTCTGAGAGGAGATTGGCTTTGTGTAGAATGCAGGAAGTAGGTGGCTAGTTTCTCCAGGTTGGAGTCTCTGCAAGTGAGCTTGTGTGTGGGTGGGGTTGTGGCATGTCTGGAATCAGTGGCTTTTCCCAGCTTGTCTAGCTCTTGAGACCCTTTTTTGGCCCAGCTTGGAGCCACTCTCAGTTTTGCAGTCTATCTAGTGAGATTGTACAGCCTTTTGGATTTTTAATTCCTACAAGGGCTAAGCTCTGAGGGTATCTGCTATATGACTGGAATGTCTTTGTTCACTGCCAAGGGGCAGGGCCGATCCTCTCTGCCAACCCTGGCAAAGTTGTCCCTTCCTGGAAAGAGCTACCTCCTCCTGGGCAGGGCAACCTTCGTCCAGGTGGAGCTTACTATCACTGATCAGATTCCTTTGTCCTGTTGATAAATGATATTACAGGTGTAGCTTCTCTGGCCCAAATTATCTACTAGCTGCTCTAGCAGGCTCTATTGCAGTATCAAAGAAGGTGCTGTTTTGGAGTGTTGGGGGAGAGCTACTTTCCAGACACGTTTCTGTGATATGGTGTGAAGATGTTTTTGGGGTGTCTACATACTTTCCCGGTTTTTTAGACTATCTAGGACCCGTGGAAGCAGGATGTGCGTTTTAACTCCTAGTAATCTAGTTCACACTGGAGATGAGTGAAAAGCCATACTCACTCTGTCTCTGTTGTCGCCAACTTGTGCTCAAATGGGCTTTCTTAAGCAGGCTGCCTGAATTTTTCCTCTATGTCCAAAATCTCTGTATAGGTTTTGAAAGTAGTCCTTTTGGATTCCTTGGATGTTCAGGATATAGCCAATAGCAAAGCAAGATTAAAATCAATGAGGCAGTAGGATGCAGGCAATGAGAAAGGACACAGGCACTGACAAATCAGAATACAGTTCATCAGGAAGCTGGATGCAGCCACTGATAGGTTAGAATGTAGCCAATGATGAAGGATGAAACCAATGACATAGCAGGAGGCAGTCGACAAAAGATATAGCCAATCATAAAGCAGGATGAAGCCAGTGACCAAGCAGCATATAGGCAATGGAACCTATTCTTAGGTCCTCCAAATTCCATGACTTTTCTCTGTGAACAATCAGCATGGCAAAGGCACTCAAGGGAGAAGATCAGTGTTCCTACTTCAAAAAATGATGTGAAATTCTAGGACAGCACTCTGTACAGAGTATGCCCATGCATGTCCAGCTGTCACCACTGCACTTTCTGGAAAGATGTCCTGAGCAAAAGTGTCTCATCTGTGTACTCTAGAGGCCACTGTACATTGGTTAGTTCTTTTATTATTTTCTTTATCTTTGATTGGAGACCTGCACTGGAACAGGGCATGTCACAGTCTGCTCATTGGCTGATGCCCCATAAGCCTCCATTCCTACCACTGGACATCGGATGTGCTTTGAGGTCTATTTACTATTATCTTTCCTCTTTATAATTCTCTATGCCCCAGCAGTTCCTTTGTTCATAAGTTTGAATCCTCAACTCTATTTGTGGACTTTCACATCTACTCTTGGTATGTGTTGAGCCAATTTGCATCAACTTGACCATCACATATGATTAGTTTCTAGCAAACCTGTGTGTGAGAAGTGTGACCCTTGTCCTTGACCCCTGGCCTGCCACATGCTGTGCTCTGCAAACCCAGGGTACATGGTCACCCTTGTTGCCAGGCTCCCAGTGGGGAAGACAAATAATTTCTGTATCTCAGGATGTACCCAGGGCTAAGAGAACCAACCTTTAATAACCAGCTGGGTCTTGAAGTTTACTTTCTGATGACTTTGACTTCGAAAAAAACACATCCTGGAATAGTAATTCTGTTCATTTCATTAATAAAGGTAGCATATTCTCTAAGACATTCCATTGGCACCTGGAAGACTGGTTTGTGCCTCCTGTGGAGGCATCAGACTAATGCCCAGTAAACAAGGCCATCCAGGCAGCAGGTGACAGTGACTGATGTCCATTGGGAGAAGCCTTGTCACCCCAAGCATGCTATACATTGGTGGCTGGGCACCAACAGCCTATCCAAGATGCCAGACTGCTTCTTGGAAGCTGTTCCCTGTGAGCAGGATTATGAAGCTCGCAAGCTTGACAAGCAGGTGAGGTAAGAAGAGGTCAGAAGGATTCATTATCCTCTTTACCCCATCTTTACATTATTTCCTGCCACACATGCTGTGATTTGAAATGGAGTTGCAACAATGCTTTCATCAGGGAATATAGAAACGTAAATGTTTCCTAGAATGACTTTACCTACAGGACCCTGGAAACCCTTAACATTTTTTTGGTTGGTCATGAGGCTTGAAGTCTGGCCCTGGGCACTGTCCCTCAGCTCTTCAGCTTAAGCTAGCAATCTACCACTTGAGGCGCAGCGCCACTTCTGGATTTCTAGTGGTTCATTGGAGATGAGAGTCTCATAGCCTTTCCTGCCTAGGCTGCCTTTGAACCATGACCCTCACATCTCAGCCTCCTGAGTAGCTAAGATTACAGGCGTGAGCCACCAGCACCCAGCTACCCTAACATTTTTTTTTGCTGATAATTTAGAGAGAGAGAGAGATCTACAGATACCTTTTATTTATCTATGTACATTTGTCTGTCCTGTGGCTTGAATCAAGGCCAGGTCATTGTCCCTGTTCATTTGTGCCCAAGGCTAAGACTGTATGTCATGAGCCAAACTCTACTTCCACCTTTTTGGGTAGTTTATGAGAGATAAAAATCTCATATACTTTCCTACTCAGGTTGGATACTGACCCTAATCATGCTTGGGAGTAGCTTCCTGAGCAGCTGGAATTGTAGGTGAGAAGGACTGGCACAACCTACAGATGTCTTTTTTTTTTTGGACAGACAATTGAGAGGTTTTTACTTAGATTTTTTTTTATTTTGAAAATACCATATAGAGGGGTTACAATTAAATGGGAAAGAGTACATTACTTATCAAGTATTGTTGCCTCCTCCTTTGTTTCCCCTTCCCATCCCTTTCCATCTCCCATCCCCCCAACTCACCCCCCCCCCCCGCCTCCTCCCCCCGCCAAGGTTGTAAAGTTTGTTTTTGACATAACAACTTGTACATCTCATTGTTGCAATGGGTCCACCTGTATCCCTATTTAAACGATTTGTTTTATCCTTTACCCTCCACAAATTATACCAACATCAAATTCAGTGAAAGCAGGGATTATACCATGGTGTGGGACATACAAAGCAACAAAGATATCATCTTATAAATACGTTAGAAACAATCACATGAAAGAAAAAAACATTTGAATACTTATCTTGGGGTTCATTTCACCTAACATCAACTTATCTGAACTTTTGTGCTTGTCTCAGACATATACTAGTTATTGCAAATAAGGGAAACCATAGGACCTATGTTAGTTTGGGCCTGGCTTACTTCACTTCATATAATTTTTTTCAGGTCTTTCCATTTCCTAAAAAATAAGGTAATGTCATTCTTTCTGATGGAGGCATGGAATTCCATTGTGTGTATATACCACATTTTCTTGATCCATTCATCTACTGAGGGGCATCTGGGTTGGTTCCATATCTTATATCCTATCAGTTTTTTGAAATGACAGGAGTTAGTGTTGCATTCTTCCCTGTCATCATTTTAATTGCCATTATAATCTTCATTGTTGTGATAGAGGTGATGTTGAGGGGATTACCATTGCATAAGTTAGGCCATGTGTGCACTTTTGCTTTGTCACTTGTGAGATTTCAGGGCCTAGGTTCTGTCCCTGAGATGTGGGGCTCAACGGTGGCACTCTACCAGTTTTTCCACAGCACCACTTTCTTCAATATATTTCTTTGAGTACAACTTCACCTCTTGTCTTTTCCAGTTTTCTCATCCTGTCACCACACATAAGTTGTATGGTTCCTATCCACATAGTGTCTACTGCGTACCACTGCTGCATTGGTTCATCCCATAATTGTCATAATTGACAAACTGTACAGACAGCAGATGATTTTGCTCATCCAACCTCAATGGAAAAGTTTCAGTACTGCCAGATATGATGCTCTGCATATCATAGATACATTTTGAACATCATAATGGTTACTTTTAAATTTCTCCATGATAAAAACATTCATCATTTACTTATACTGAATCTGTTGCATAGTGGAGTTCCTGGGACTATTGAAGTGCTCCTGTATTTTCCTCACTTCTACTCCTGTGATCACTGCATAGGAGAAATGGGTAATATGAAGCGTCTTTTGAATCTTAGTCTCCTGTTCCATTGCCCCAGTGTTTTATCCTAGTGCAAGATTCATTTCTGCAGTTTTTTTGTGTCACTTTTTTATTTGCCCCCAAAATACACTTGTATTCCATTCTTTTGATCACACTATATTGATCCCATTTTATTTCAAAGCCATGCTAAGATAATAGCAGGCTAAATACAATGATTAATCGAGTTTGTAGGATGTGTGTGAAAACATTTTCACATCTTATATATTTGCTACACTCCTCCTTTGATGCTTATTTTGATTCCTTACCCAGTAATTTCCCCCTCTTTGGAATTTGTTTCCCAGAAGAGTTGAAATTGAACACTTAATACGGTGCTAAGGAATTTTTTTCTGGTAATGGAGTTTGAGCTACCTTTCCTTTCTACCAAATTATGGATAAAATATCTTTTGAAATAGGATTTTTGGACGGAGAACAGTTGGCTCATGTCTGAAATCCTACCTACTCAGAAATTTGAGATCTGAGGATGACAATTAAAAGCAAGGCATGGCAGGAAAGTCTGCAAGACTTAATTCTCAAATAAACCAGCATGAAGGTGGAGGTATAACTGTTAGCCTTGAACAACAATGAAAAAGAAAGCTCAGGGATAGTTTCTAGGATGTGAGATGAAGCCCCAGGCATTCATGAACACACACACACACACACACACACACACACACACACTACAATCTGATGACCTAGAAAACTCCTTATACCGTGCAAACTTCTGTGTACCACAAGTCCACAGTTCTCCTTGGGAAGACACTAAGACTCATGGTGTGAGCCAGGATTTCCCTTCAATAATCTCATCCGTTTCTGTCCTCTAAGATCCTCAGGAGCCCTTGGGATTCCATTCCACAAGAGCCAACCCTGGGCCTGAAACTGATTTACATCTTCCTCATATTCTTCCTGAAGAACAACTTGGAATGGATCAGTAATCTAATGAACAGATTTTTCATTCTGGTATCAACTCTTTGGCTGCTCTATGCATCAGATATCACAGTGCCATTCACAATGTCTCGGTGGAATCGATATTGGGGGCAGGGAACTCCTTGCTCTCCATGCTCTATCTGTACATGTTTGGATTCCAAAGTCATCTGAAGAAGCCCATCGATGCTATCTTTATGCACCTGACGGTGGACAACATCCTGAACCTCACCTTCACAATGTTGCTAGACATCATGGCATCCTTCCGAGTTCATCATTTTCTGATGATGTGGGCGGCAAGGTGGTGGTGTACCTCTTCAGAATCACCCAGGCACTTTCCATCAGCACCACCTTGCTCCAGTGCGTGTGGCTTAAATCTAAGTCTTCAGTGTTGTTTTTCCCATCTTTCCTCTTCTTCTGGGTTGTCAATAACACTCATCTATGTCCTGGTTATTAAGGTTATGAAAGCCAAAAGCAATTTTACTCTTGCCGGTTCTGGATTTTCCAATGTATATTGTCATACTCAGCAGATAGAAGACAATAGATTATGGTATCGCATCCCTATCTTCTTATTTTGAGATCTTATGTTTGTAATCCTCATGATCATCACCAGCCTCTATTTGGTGCCCCTCCTGTATTGACACCACAAGACAGCCTGGCAACTGCATAGTCCCAGGCTTGCCTCGCAGCCAGCACCTGAGAACAAAGCCACCCACATCATCCTGCTGTTGGTCAGCTGTTTCATGTTCTTCTATTGCTCCAACAACATCATGGACTTTTATTACTTTTACACAGCAGTGAAAATTCCAACACTGGAAGTGATCGTTTGTTTTTTATGATCAGGCTACCTAGCCATGTCTCTTTTTTTCTTTACGGAGAATAATAAAAGTCTTTCCAAATGTACACTCTCCTTTTCATTGATGGGAAGTACCAGTTGTCATAAAGCAATCAATGGCTAATTAGACAGCCAAAATTTTTGCTCAAAAGCAGTGAAGTTCCTAGTAATGTAAATGGGGAATAAAACTGTGTGTATTGAACACTTAAAATCTTATTCAACTTCAGACATGCTATAATTCTTAAACACTGACGGAGTATACTGACCCAAACATTTCATATTTATATCCCCTGTTGCTGTATTTCAGTTTGGTGCCATAGTATTGCATATACATTTATTTGAATTAGGGAAGGGAACGGGAAGAACAGAATGGTGAGATAAAGGACAAGGGCTGAGCCAATGCAACAGCAATATACAGAAGACAATGTGTTGGAAATGATCTGTACAAATTTTGGGGGGTGAGGAGGTAGGAGGGAGGGGTATAGAAAGTAAGAGAAAAAGGAGGGAAAGTGTAACAAGTTTGTCAAAAAATGTATGTATTACCTTACTAATGTAACTGTAATCACTCTGTATATTACCTTGAAAAATATATATATTTCTTTGTTTGTTTGTTTGTTTGCTGTGCGGCCTGAATTCTGGGCCTGGGCGCTGTCCCTCGGCTCTTCAACTCAAGGCTAGCTCTCTACTACTTGAGCTACAGTGCCACTTCTTGCCTTTTCTGCTTATCTGGTGCTGAGGAATCAAACTCAAGACCTCATGTATTCAAGGCAAGCACTCTACCACTAAGCCACCTTCCCAGTCCTTGATAATAATTTTTTAAGTTTTTTTTTTCATTTTTGTCATTTCATTGGAATTAAACTCTGACCCTAGGGGCTGTCGCTCAGCTCTTCAGCTCAAGGGGAGTGCTCTCCCACTTGTGCCACAGGGCTACTTCTTGTTTTCTGGTGGTTAATTGGAGATTAGAGTCTCACAGCCTTTCCTGCCTGTGCTGGCTTTGAACCTTGATCCTCAGATCTCAGCCTCCTGAGTAGCTATGGTTACAGGCGTGAGCAACCAGTGCCCAGCTCAAAAAAAGTTTTATATTGCTTAGTTACTTAAACTATTATTGGTGGGGGGCTGGTTTTGTGGTTTAGAGGTAGATTGCTTGCCTAGCATGCATGAAGTCCTGGGCCCAATTCTTCAGAACCACATACAGAGAAACAGTCAGAAGTGGTGTAGTGGCTCAAGGGGTAGAGTGCTAGCCTTGAGACAAAGAGGCTCAAGAACAAGCCAGGTGTCGGTGGCTCACCCCTGTAATCCTTCCTACTCAGGAGGCTGAGATCTAAGTCTCGAAGTTCAAAGCCAGCCCAGCCAGGAAACTCCGTGAGGCTCATCTCCAATAAACCACTCAGAAAATGATAAGTGGTGCTGTGGTTCAAGTGGTAGAGTGCTTGCTGTGAGCTGAAGAGCTTAGGAAGAGTGTCCAGGCCCTGAGTTCAAGACCCAGAACTGCCCCAACCAAAAAAAAAGATTATTGGTGTGATAAAAGAAATACATTTCCTGTACACTATTACAATTAAAAATAATTTCTCTTTTTTAATAAAGACAGCATCTACACAATCTTTTTCTACCTTCCTTTCCCTTCCTAATAACAGTGCTATTTTTTATATAGAATTTTATTAAATCACTCTAAGAATGCTGGTTCTCCAATGACAGAGCAGCATCTAGCCACCGAGGAAACAGCATGTGGCCAAAGGATACAGCCAGAGCCAGGCACAGGTGGCTCATGCCCATAATCCTAGCTAGTCAGAAGGCACCTCAGTTCTCAGGCACCCTGGGAAGAAAAGTTAGTGAGACCCTTACTTCAACTAATCATAGGAAAAGCCAGAAATAGTGCTATGGCTCAAGTGGTAGAGTGCTAGCCTTGAGCAAAGAAGCCCAGGAACAGTGTCCAGGCCCTGAGTTCAATCCCGAGGACAGGCAAAAAAAGTGGATCTTGCAGCCAATGACAAAGAACATTGTAGCCAGTGACAAAGCAGGAGGCAACCAGTGACAATCAGGATGCTGTCAACGCAGAGATGTGTATACACCATGACACATATTCTTCCATCCTGTGATCTCCATGACTCTACTCTGTGACAAGCAGTGTGGTAAAGGCACAATGGAGATCAGTGTTCTGATTTAGACAACAAAGGAAACCTTCCAAGACAGGGCTGTGGAGAGAGTAAGTCCCTAAGTCCCTGCAGGTCCCGTCGTCCATCACCACTGGACTTTCTGGAGAAGTGTCATGAGGAAAAGGGGTGCTGTTCACTCTGAAGCTCACTGGATATTGGATATTTTATTCTATTCTATTTTTTGGTGAGAGACTATGACTGGAACTCACTATCTGACGATTTTGCTCATCATCTGATGCTCCACAAGAGCCCTATCCTGCCATTGGACACTCAACCTAGTTTGAAGTCTACTCCCCCTGTTATACTTCCTGTTCACAGTCTCTATATACAGTTGACTCGCCTGATAGTGTTTTAGTCCTAGATTTTTATTTTGAACACATACAGACAATACTTATTGTCTGTATGTGTTGAGCCAATTTGCATCCTTGGAATAAAATCAGCCTATTTTCATGTGTGATATTTCTAGTATATTATCACATGTACTTCTGAGACTTTGGGATGAGTATCTCAACTACATTTCTTTAACATTTCTAGTTTGCTTGACAATAATAGTGTTATGATCATGTTTTGTTAGCAGGGAAATTCTGCTTGAATCAGCTGAGTTCCTACATGTTTTCTCTCCGTTACCAAAATTTTTGGAGGAGCCTTTTCACGAACATTTTAAGGTTTTGTATTGTTTGTTTATTTTTGAGTTTTCTTTGTTGCTGTTGTTTAGTTGTTTTGTTCTTGTACTGGTCCTAGGGCTTGAACTGAGGACCAAGGCTGTGTGCCTGAGCTTTGTTTTGGGGGGGGTCCGGTCATTGGGCCTGAACTGTGGGCCTGGGTGCTATCCCTCAGCTCTTCAGCTCAAGGCTAGTGCTCTACCACTTGAGCCACAGCGCCACTTCCAGCTTTTTTCCTTTTTGCTTCTGTGGTGCTGGGGAATCTAACCCAGGGCCTCATGAATTAGAGGCAAGTGCTGTACCACTTTGCCGGCATCCCAGCCCTGTGCCTGGGCTTTTGTTTTGATCAACGCTGGCAGTCTTCCACTTGGGCCATAGCTCTACCTGTGGATTTTTGCTGGCTAAATGCAGATAAGAGTGTCACAACAGAGTTTTTGCCTAGTCCAGTTTTGAACTGTGATCGTCAGATCACAGGTTCTGAGAAGCTATTATAACAGTGTGAAGCTGGCATCCAGCTTCAATAAGTTTTGTAGAACCTCCCAAATATGAAAAAGGAGGACAAAAACTACTCACAAATGAATTGTGATGTGCAAGGAGATTGAAGTCATAGTAGTCTCCCCAAAATGGAGGACAAAGGGTGAACAAAGCCAGCAGTGGTACTCATTAGACAATGTGTGGAACTGAACTATGCAAATTGTGGTTGGCAATGGGAGAAAGAAACTGAGAGAGATTGTGGGAAAAGGTAACAAAAGGAACTGTTCTCCTTAACTGTAATATGAAACATGAACCCCTCTCCACATCATCTACAACATAAGCATTTTAGTGGGGTGTCACTAGTGGCTCATGCCTATATTCCTAGCTACTCAGGAGTCTGAGATCTGAGGATCCCAATACAAAGCCAGCCTGTGCAGGAAAGTTCGTGGGCCTCTTATCTGCAATTAACCACTGGAAATCTGGCAGTGGCCCTGTGGCTCAAGTGCTTGCCTTGAGTTGAAGAACTCAGGGACAGTGACCAGGCCTAGAGTTCAAGCCCCATGACTGACCAAAAAAATGAAATAAAATAAATATACTCACTTAAAAATAAAATGAGAAAACAGTCTTCTCTAAAATAAAAACCCTCAGTACTGAAGATGGTCAGGACTTTCAGAAGGAACAAACACTAGTGCCCTCAAATACAAAGAGGAGCAACTCTACAAATACTTTATGACAGGGGAGAAGAAAGATGACATGGGTCAAGTCCTCTCACTCTTATAGTACTTTGTGGGAAGGCAAGTCCTCTGTCCAACTACTTAAACATGAAAAATAAAACAAATATGGACAAGTCAGAAATACAGCAACTAAAGAAATAAAATCTTAGATTAAACCCTGACATTAACTACACCCCATCAAAACATTTTTAAAAGAGGACAGAAAGAGCATGATTGTATCGATACATTCACAAAAAGACTTTTACAGAATTCAACATCACTTCATTAAAAAAAAAAAAACCTTTGAAAGGATTGGGAAGAGAGTGGGACATACCTCAACATCACAGTGCTTAGGCATGATAAATCTACAGTTGAAGCTGTCCTGAATGGGGAAAATTTAAAGCAAGTCTGCATAAGGAAGAAAGGTGAGGGAAATCAGCGATCTCCACTCTCTGATGTAATGAGTTTGGACATGATCCTTCTGCTTCTAGTTCATGGACGAGTTTGATGAGTACCACTGTTATTTCAACATGAAAAATCTTACAGAATCCACCCTGGTCCCTGGGATTTTCCTTGTTTGGACTAACAATGTCATTGGGTGTTATGGGCCTATTCAAATTGCTTTAATCTTCTTGGTGGAGCTGAAGCAGTTTGCATACATTTCTACTGGATTTTCCATCTTGTTAGAGTGTAGGTTTTGAAAAGAGTCCTTCATTATCTTTTGGATTTCTTGGTGGTTTTTTGCAATGTTTCCATTGGCATCTCTGATTTTGTTCATTTGAATCTCTTCTTTTCTCCATTAATTTAGGTAGTCATTTGTAAATTTTATTGTTTATTTCCTAAAAGAGTAACTTATTGTTTTGTTGATTTTATATAAACTGTATTTTTAGTCTGTAGTTAATTTGTCTCCTATTCCTTACTACTCTCTCCATCTGGTTGTTTGAGGTTTGGTGTACGTCTACTTTCCTAGTAGTACTCACACTGTTTGTCTTATCTATATGTATACAATTACACTAAGAACTTTCCTTTCCATACTGCTTTTGCTGCACCCAGAGGGTCTGGTTTGAAGTGTTATATTTTTCAGTGAATTCCCACCTATTGTTCAGTAATGTGGTATTCAGTCACTGTATGTTTGTTTCAGTAGTGTTCTGTTGTTTAGGAGCAGTTTAATTGTGATCAGATAAGATACCAAGAGTTATTTCCATCCTTTTGTTTTTGCTCAGGCTTACTTTGTGTCCTAGAAACATTTTGGAAAATGTTCCATGTGCTGCTGAAAAGAATGTGAGTTGTGTGCTTGTTGGGTAAAATACTTTCTAGAGAGCTTCTATGTCCATTTGAGTAATGGAGTTATTTAATTCAGAAGCTTTTTTTTGCTGATTTTTGTTTGGTTGACCTATCTTTTGATGAAAGTGGGGTGTTAAAATCTCCCACTATTATTGTGTTGGGGTCTATGAGGTTCTGTGAGGCTAAGAGCATTTGTTTAATATCTTTATGTCTTCCATGGTTTGGTGCACAAATATTATCCACTATGATTTCCTCTTTGTGGATCATGTACTTTGTTAATATGTGATGGTCTTATTTGTCTCTTTGTACTGATTTTAATGAGGAATATATTTTATCAGATAACAATATGGCTACTCTGGCCTTCTTGCAAGATGTATTTCCATGATGAATTTTGGTGATCTTTTAGTTCTGGATTCATTTTTTTTGTGCGATGAGTTTCTGTTGTTATAGTTGTTTTGTATTTTTTCCAATATACTGCTTACATCTTTAGGTTGGAGAGTTTACCCATTGATGTTGAATGTCACTATGGAGAACTATGTCATTGTTCCTGCCATCTTGTTATTTTCTGTTCATGTCCTTTTTTCCTCTTTGGTAGTTACTGGACTGCAAATGATCTTTATTCAGTTCTATATATTGAATTCTTGTATTTATTCATAGTGTAGTGATTTTTATATCATGCTGTGTTTACTTTGATTGTTTTCTATTTTCTAATTGTAGACTTTCCTTTATTATGCCTTGTAATTCTGATGTAATTCTATGGATTCTTTTAGTTGTTGTTGTTTGTTGTGGAAGGTTTGCATTTCACTAACTATTGGGGTTTTGAGCCAGGCTGGTTACACCAGTATGGGTTGCCAATTGTTCTGATTTGGGGGTTGAATTATACCACTACAGGCTCTCTTTGCATTCAGTTGGTATGGAGAAATCTGCAGTCATTCTCATCTTTTTTCTATTGTAATAAAGTTCCTTCTTTGGTTTGCTGCATTTAAAAATAGTTTCTTGCTTTTGGAGATCAGTGTTTTCACTTTGATGTGTCTAGTGTTATTTCTTCTGGCACCCTGTCTGGTATGGGTTCTACATATCTCTACCAGGTGGATGAGATTCCTCGTTGAGTTAGGGAAATTTTCTGTTCTTATTTTTTACATGGCTTATCAATATGTGTCCAGAGCTTTGGACAGGAGAAAACCTTGTTGCACATCCTGTGCATTAGAATCCTGACTCTTGTGCTGTGGGGTACAGGAGCCCTCCACAGCTGGCCCACCAGATTCCGTGCACTGCAGAGCCAAGGCCCCCAGCAGGGAAGACAGAGAGCGCTCTGGGTTCCACTCAGTATGTCCCCAAGGCTGTGAGAACTAACTTTTAATTACCAGCAACATCCTGAAGTTTACTTTCTGATGAGTTTGACGTGGAAAAAACACACATCTTGACGTTGTAATTGTTTTCTCTAAGTAATCAACTTAATATGTTCTCTCAGAGATTGCCTTGGCACTGGGAGAGAGTTTTGCATGTCCTGTGGAGACATCAGATTGAAGTCTGTAAACAAGGCAACTAGACAGCAGGTGACACTGATTGATGTCCACTGGGAGAAGCCTCATCACCCTGGTATGGTTCATAGTCAAGGTTGGGCACGGACAGCCTATCCACAATGCCAGGCTGCCTCCAGGAAGCTGTGCCTTGTGAGCCAGCATTGTGCAACTCTCAGCCTTGACAGGAACATGAGGTAGGAAGAGGTAAGAAGACTTTAGCATCCTCCTTACCCCAGCTTTACAACATTTCCTGCTATGCATGTTGTAATTTGAATCAGGGTGGCAATAATGTTTCCTGAAGGGAACATGGAAACCTCACTGTTTCCTAGATTGATTTTATCTGCAGTAACCTGGGAGAGGCCTAAATTATTTTACTCACAGTTTATTCATTGATCTACAGTTGTCTTGTATGTATGTATGTATGTAAGCATGTATGTTTATTTAATTATTTTTGCCTGTCTTGTGGCTTGAATCAGAGTTAGGGCACTGTCCCTGAGTTTTTGTGCTCAAGGCTAGGACTCTATCACATGAGCGTCTGAGCCACTTCCAGCCACTTTGGTAATTTATCAAAGGTAAGGGTCACAAACTTTCAAAGTCTGTTGGCTTCAAACCATGATCCTCAGATCTCAGCCTCCTGAGTACCTAGGACTAAAGTAGAGAGCCACTGGCACCAAGCTACAAATGTTTTTGTTATAGTTTATGGATTCTGTGAAATGACAGGTGTTAGAATTTCAGTCTCCCCAATTTTTATCAGTTTAATTTTCATTATTATTTTGTATTTTTATTATAAAGCTGATATACAAGGGTTACTATTTCATAAGTCAAGTAATGAATATAAATATTTGTCAGTTGTGAGGCTTCCACTCTGGGTGTACATACTCCTCCTGAGATTTTAGGCTCCAGGCTAGCACTTTGCTACATTGAGCCACAGTGCCACCTTGTTCACTACATTTCCTTTTGGATAATGCCACTGCTAACTTTACCTTTCCCAAACTTTCCATCCAGTTCTCAACCACAAATTGTATAGTTTCTTTTCCACATAGTATCTACTGTGTTCCACTGATGTATTCATTCACACTTTGTCATGATTGACAATCCAACGCTCCAAAGAGCAAGTGAGTTTATTCCACCAACTTTAATTGAAAATTTTCAACACCCATAGATACATTGCTAGGGAAATCATAGATATTTTTTAACGTGAAATCAAGAACAAGATCTCTGCATGATAAAAAATGTTCATCACTTACATATACTGAATCTATCACACAGGAGATTTCCTGTATCTGTTTTGATATTTTCCTCACTTCTACTCCGGTGATCACTGCATAGGGTAATGGGTGAGCTGAAGCCTATTTTAAATCTTAATCTCCTGTACCATTGTCCCAATGTTTTTTCATCGTACAATACTGGTTTGTGTAGATTTTTGTGTCATTTCCCTCCAGAAATACACTGGCATTTCATCTCTGGAGTCAGAAGATAATGACTGTATTTCATATCAAGGCATGCTAAAATAGAACCATGGTCAGTACAATGCTTCACTGAGTTTTTAGGGAGTGTGTGAAACCATGTTCACATCCGGTATATTTGGCCAACTCCTTTTTTGAAGCTTATTTTAACAGTTTACCCAGGAATTTTCCCCAGTTTGTTATTTCTTCACAGGAAACATTCCACCTGGTAGTCTTCCTGAATTAGTAAACATTTCTTTGGGGATGCTGGAGCTTGAAATAATGGTCTGTCCCTTATATTTATTATGTATTACTAATTGGATGTGTTTTCAAATGAGATGTTGTAGCTGGACACTGGTGGCTCACACTTGTATCCTTGCTACTTAGGGAGTTGAGATATGAGGATCATGATATGAAGCCAGCCCAGGCCAAAATGTCGCTGAGACTTATCTCCAATTAATCAGCATAAAGATGGAAGTGAAGCTTGTAGCTTTTAGCAAAAATACAAGAACACAGAGTACCATTCAGGCCCTCAGATCAAGCTATAAGACTTCAAACACACACATACACACACACACGCACACACACACACACACACACACACACAGAGCATATATAATAATCTGGAGATCAAAGAAACATAATATCCAAATTTCTGTGTACCACAGGCCCACAGTTTTCCTAGTGAAGGCACTAGGACCCATGGTGTGAGACAGGGTTTCTTTTCTATAATCTCAACCATTTCTGTCTTCTAGATTCTCTCAATCTTTTGTCTTTGGCATCCCACTCCAGAAGGGCCACCCCTGGATCTGAAACTGACTTTGATCTTCCATATTATTTGTGAAGCTCAATTTGGAATGGATCCATAATCCAGTAAGCTGATTTTTCTCTCCTGTATAGACTCCCTGTTTATCTATGCATCAAACCTCCCAAACACCTTAGCAATGTTTTCGGATTCATCAATATGGGGGCTTTTCCTCATAGCCCAGCTGTGTGTTGGTGTCATGGGGAACTCCCTGCTCTCCATACTCTATCTGTACATGTTTTTATTCCAACGTCAGCTGAAGAAGCCCATCGATGCCATTTTCATGCACCTGACTGTGGTCAACATCCTGAACCTCACCTTCACAATGTTACCAGACATCATAGCATGCTTCGGAATCCAGCGATTTCTGAACGATGTGGGTTGCAAGGCGGTGATGTACTTCTTAAGAGTCACCCGGGGACTGTCCATCTGTACCACCTCACTCCTCAGTGCTTTTCAGGCCATCACCATCAGCTCCAGCCATGCCCAATGGGTGTGGCTTAAATCTAAGTCTTCAGTGTGGATTTTCCCTTCTTTCCTCTTCTTCTGGGTCATCAATATGGTCATCTATGTCCCGGTCATTACAGCTATGAAAGCCAAAAGCAATTTCACTTTGGTTGGTCCTGGGATGTCCAATGCATATTGTGAGACTCGGCGGATAGAAGACAATAGATCATGGTATTTCATATCTATCTTATTAGTTCGAGATCTTGTGTTTGTTATCCTCATGATCACCACCAGCCTTTATATGGTGACCCTCCTGTACCGACACCACAAGACAGCCCGGCACCTCCACAGTCCCAGGCTTGCTTCCCAGCCAGCACCTGAGAACAAGGCCACCCACACCATCTTACTGTTAGTCAGCTGTTTTGTGTTCTTCTATTGCTCCAACAATATCGCAACCTTTTATTCCTTTTACACCGCTGTGAAAATCCCAAAAATGGGCGTGATCATTTGTATTTTATCATCATGCTACCCAACCATGTGTCCTTTTTTCCTAATGAAGCGTAATAAAATTTTTCCAAATGTATGCTCTCCCTCTCTTTGATGGGAAGTACCAGTTGTCAGAAAGCATTCAATGACTGATTGGACAGCAGTGAAGATCCTAGTAATATACATGGGAAAGAAATTGTGTGTACTGAGCACTTGAAGTGTTGTTAAAATTCAGATATACTGTAATTCTTAAACGTTCTGGTACCTTTATGTGTGTGTTTGTACAAATGTGTTCTATTGCTTAGATGCTTAAAAAATTATTGGTGGGTTCTGAGGAGGTAGCTCAGTGATAGAATGCTTGCCTTGAATGCATGAGGGCCTGGGTTTGATTCCTCAGCACCACAAACAGAAAAATCCAGAAATGGAGCTGTGGCTCAAGTGGTAGAGCTCTAGCCTTGAGCTGAAAAGCTCAAGGACAGTGCCCAGGTCCAGAGTTCAGGCCTCATGAACGACCCCCCAATAATTAGTGGTGGGTTAAAAGAAATACTTTTTCTGTGCACTATTAAAATTAAAAATATTTCTTTTTTATTAAGACAGTGGCTAGACAATCTTTTTTTCTTTGCATTCCTTTCCTACTAATAGTACTGTTTGTTAAATGGAATTTTATTAGATCACTCTAAGAACGCTGGTCGTCCAGTGGCAAAGCAATATCCAGCCAATGAGGAGCAGGATGTAGCCAGTGTCAAAGGATAGAGCCAGAGCCAAACATAAATGGCTCATGCCTGTAATACTGGCTACTCAGGATTCATTTCAGTTCTAAATCACTCTAGGAAGAAAAGAGAGACCCTTACTTCAATTAATAACAAGAAAAGCAAAGAAGTAGTGCTATCGCTCCCATGGTAGAATACTAGGCTTGAGGAAAAGAAATGCAGGGACAGTGCCCAGACCCAGAATTCAAGACCCAGGACTGGCAAAATAAAAAACAAAACAAAATCCAACAACAACAACAAAAGAGATACAGCCAGTGACAAAGCAGGATATTGTCAATAAAGAAGGAGCATGCAGGACTGGGAATGTGACTGAGTGGTAAGTACTTGCCTAGCATACATGAATCCCTAGGTTCAATTCCTCAGCACTACATACACAGAAAAAGCTGGAAGTGGCACTGTGGCTCAAGTGGTAGAGTGCTAGCCTTGAGCAAAAGAAGCTCAGTGCAGTGCCCAGGACCTGAGTTCAGATCCCAGGACTGGTAAAAAAAAAAACAAAAAACAAAAAACAGACGGAACATGCAGCCAATGACAAAGGGTGCAGCCAATACCAAATCAGGATGCCGTCAATGGCCGAGAAGGATGGCATATATTCTTACATCTTCTAATCTCCATGATTCTATTCTGTGACAAGCATCTCTGAGATGAAAGTTGATCCTAATATGTCTGAAGTCTTTCTAAATTCTATTACTAGTATTTTATTCAAGACCTTTAACAAGGCTGGGAAGGTGGCTCAGTGGTAGTGTGCTTGCCTTGTATGCATGAGGCCTTGGGATCGATTTCTCAGCACCACATAAGCAGAAAAAGCCAGAAATGGCACTGTGGTACAAGTGGTAGGGCACTAGCCATGAGCAGAAGAGTTGAAGGACAGCGCCCAGGCCCAGAGTTCAGGCCCCATTACTGGCACAAAGCAAAACAAAACAAAAACCAAAAACAGCTTTAACAAAACCAAAATGAATTACAGAGAGAAAGACAGTAAAGATTAGAACAGAAGAGGCTGGGAAGGTGCCTCAGTGCTAGAGCACTTGCCTTGCATGCATGAGGCCCTGGGTTCAATTCCTCAGCACCACATAAGCGGAAAATAAAAGACAGAAGTGGCCCTGTGGCTCAAGTGATAGAGCGCTAGCCTTGAGGTGAAGAGCTGAGGGACAGTGCTCAGGCCCAGAGTTCAGGCCCTACGACTGGAACAACAACAACAAAGAAAAGATTAGAACAGAAATCAATGATATAGACACAAGAAAGATATACATAAAATCAGTGGAGCACTAAGCATGTTCCTTTAAAAAAAATCTATAAATTAACAAACCATGGGATAAATTGATATAGAAATGAAAAGAAGGGACTCAGAACAAGAAAAACACAGATTCCAAAGGAAACATTACAACTGACATCCAAGAAATCAGAAAGATTATGAAGACCTATTTTCACAACCTATATTCCCTGGACGCCAGAGGCTCGTGTCTGTCATCCTAGCTACTCAGGAGGCTGAGATCTGAGGATCAAGGTTCAAAGCCAGCCCAGGCAGGAAAGGTTCATGAGATTCTTATCTTCAATAAACCATCAGAAAACCAGAAGTGCTGCTGTGGCTCAAGTAATAGAGCATTAGCCTTAAGCTGAAGAGCTCAGGGACAGAACCAAGGCCCAGAGTTCAAGCCCCACAACTGACCCCCCTTCCCAAATAATAAACCTATTCTCAAGATAGAAAATCTAATACATACAGACAAATTTCTAGAGACATGCAAACTGCCTAAGATGAACCAAAAAGCTACAGACCCTTTAAACAGGCCCACAACATCCAATATGATTGAGGTAGCAATTGGCAATCTTCCAACCAGAAAAGTTTCAGGTCCAAATGGATTCAAAGTGAAATTGCATAAGACTTTTAAAGCTGAACTAATGCCAATACTCCTCAAACTTTTCTGTGAAACAGAAAAAGAAGACTCAGTTCCAAACTAGTTTTATGAATCTGGCATCCCTCTTACCCCCCAAGGAAGTAGCGATACAATGAAAACAGTAAGTCTGCTCTCATAGGCTGAGTTCTCAAGAGTTTCCTCCTTTATGAAATTGTTGGATGACCCTTTCCATTACAGGATTTATTTCTTAGTTTGTTTTGTTGTTGTTCTTGTTTTGGTACTTTGTCTTTGTGCTGGTCCTGGACCTTGAACTTAGGATCTGGGTGTTGTGTATAAGCTTATTTTAGCCAAGTGGCATGCTACCACTTGTGCCACAGCTCCACTTCTGGCTTTTTTACTGGTTAGTTGGAAATAAAAGTCTCACAGACTTTCCTGCCCAGGCTGCCATTGAACTGTGCTCTTTAGATCATAGCCTTCTAAGTAGCTAATATTACAGGTGGGAGTCACTGGCACCAACCTTGGATAAATTTTGGCTACAAAATAGAACCTACCAACAATGAACAAGAAAGATACAAACCATTTATACAAAGTTGTAGTGTGCAAGGAAATATAAGTAATAATGGGCTACCCGCAAAGGGTGAACAAATTCAGCAGTGGTCCTCACTAGACACTATTAGGAAAATGAACTATATAACTTGTCTAAGGATAGGGGGTAAAAATGGAGGGAGCAAGGGAAGGGGTGATATTAACCAAAAGAAATGTACTCTACTTGACATGATATGGACACCCATTCTGTATATCACCTACATAATAACCATTATAAAGTATATTCTCATAAAAAAATGTCTACCACAAATTAAAACTCCAGAGCTCACACATTCATTGCTGAAGACTGTCAGAGCTTTAGAAAGAAACAAACAACAGTGCTCCTCAAACTACTTCATTCAACACAAAGCAGAGGAACTCACAAATATTTGAAGGTAGATGGGGTTGAATGATGACCGGGTGACATTGATCAAGGTGCTATGTAATCTTGTACTACTTGGTTGAGTGACAACTCCCTGTTCTTCTAATTGAAGATAAAAATAAAATTAAGATAGAATAAAACAAATATACACAAATCAATAATAGAGTACCTAAAATGACAAAGCTTGAGATCAAGCCCTAACATTAAGTGTACCCACAAAAACATTTTGAAAGATGGCAGAAATAACATGGCCATATCAATACGTGTGCAAAAATCCTCCAACAATATTCAACACCACTTTATAATACAAGCCCTGAAGAAACTAGGAAGAGAAGGGCCAGACCTCAGCACCAGAAAGCCTGTATGTGATAAATGTTCAGTTTCACTCTGTCCTAAATGGTGAAAATAGAGAGCAGGAATGTATAAGGAAGGGCGGAGTCCAGGGCAACATCATTCTCCAGTCTCTGATACTATTTCATTAGTGCCTGGACTTTAACCATAGCAATGGCAAGAAACCAAAGAGACCAAATAGGGTTGAGGAAGAGAAATTCCCATTTGCAGATTCCATGATCTTGTACAGAAAAGATCCAAAACTCCAGCCAAACAACACTAATATCTTACATCAACTCTGATAGCAAAGCAGCAGGAAACAAGGTAAACATACACACATTCGGGCCTTTTCTGTGCACAAAGAGCAAACTCTCTGAGTAGCAATGATGACAACAGTCTCACTGATACTCCTCTCTAGGCTGACATGTAAAATCAAGGAAGCATAATAACCAGCTGGGTGCCAGTGGCTCACACCTATTATCCTAACTACTCAGAAGGCTAAGATCCGAGGATCCAAGGTTTAAAGATAAGCCTGGGCAGGCTTATCTACAGTAATCCATTAAACAGATAGAATTAGAGCTGTTGTTCAAGTGCTAGAGTGGCAGCCTTGAGTACAAAAGCTCAGAGACTGCACCCAAACCCTGAAATCAAGCCCCAGGATTGGCAAATATAAACACACATACAAACTCACACACACAAATATGGGTTGTGTATAAATATATGTTAATTTCATGTCTCTTTTAAGAACACATTTTCAGGTGATGAGTTACTGCTTAACACGATTTTATGTCATTTTTCTAGCTTTCTATGATGGCAGCAAGGTTACTTTATGAAGGACGCAATCAAAGTGGCAATCAGTGTGTCTCAGTCTCTGAACATGGCGGAGTCACCGTGTAGCTCAGTGACATGCCGTGAGTGCTGGGTGCTCAGTTCTCCCCAGTGGAAACCACAGCACTCCCTAGACTCTGCCCTACAGTGCTCAGGTCATTTCCCACCAGCTGCAAGAGAAGTAACTTTTAATGACCTCTCCGCATCTTCACTTTTTGACATCACTGGGCCTGGGAGCAAAGTCCTTCCACCAGGAGATGCGCTGTGCACATGGGACAAAGCACCTGGGTCACCACTATGATAAGAAGTAAACAAGATTGGGTGACAGCAGTGGGGAGTGAATGAGGGATGGCTGCTGGGACCCCCCCAT